TCATCAAGGACCTTTTCATCATTGGAAGAATATTTAACTTGAACAGAAATCTTTCCCAAAATGGGAACTTTTTCACCAGAATAACTGCGTAAAGTAACATCTGTATTCTGAAGGGAAAAATCCATGAGTTAACAAGGTATTGTATACATACTGTGACACAGTTCAACGAGATGCACCAGTATCTACCTCCATATTGATAATAGCATTTCCTAACTGGACACTAACTACATATGGTTTAACAGTCATACTATCAGTTCCAGTTCGGTACAAACCAAATCCCTCGGCATCTCCGCTTTTTGTAGAGTCTTCATATATCTGAAAACCTTCTTCTGCAGTATTAAGCTCACAACTGTTCGCACGCATATCCCTGGAGTTATTGGACCTTCTCTGAAAAGAACTTTCCGGCCATTGGGCCTTGCAAACTGGACGAATAGGACCTTTTTACTGACAATGATGGCAGGTTGCAGTTTTGAATTTGCAAACATCAAAACCATATGTTCTGCTACCACACGCATCACATCGTCTAGAGTTAGTGCTACGCCCACCAGTGTTCTTCTGCCCGTTCCCCTGATTTAGGTCCCAGATTTTATTAGCTTCTTCACTCACAGGTTCTCCCATGTGCTCTTTCTTGGCTTTGTTCGCTAACTCATCTGTAATGCACCGGTCGCGCGCAGCCGTGAAGGTCAGCTCTCTCACCGCTAATAGATCGCGCGGCGTTCTTGACATTTTGGAATGCAATCCAGACACGAGTCTATCGCGAAGAGGTTCCTCTAAAAAGGCACCAAAACTGCATGTGGAGGCCAATTTCGTCAATCTCACGACAAAGTCAGGGACACTTTCGTTTTATTCTTGTGAAGCAATCCAGAATTTATGTCTTTCGGCAATGATTATTGGAGCCGGTTCGTGGTGTGCTTGCAGAATCTGCTTTAAATCCTCGTGCGATTTACTGTTCGGGTTCTCTGGGTCACATAGATTCTTTAACAACTTGCAAGCTTGTAGTCCAACCACTGCTAGGAAACATGTACTTGTCTGTCTTCGGCGATCTCGTTTGCTACCATGAAGGCTTCGTAGCGTCCGGCATAATCGGCAAATTTCTCCGTAGTTTCATTTAAACTTATGCCGGCGAAATATCCCATCCTCGTTGCCAATTTTGTATATTAAAGATCAAACACAAGACCAAACTCAGCCAAGAAATGCACCACGTGCTAATCTCAAGCGGCCATCTTTTTATTCACCCAGAATTTCCCGTACATTACATTACGTCATGAGATACAACACTTACAGGACAGGAATCTTTGCAAAGCGGTCTTCACAAAACACAGCATTCTGTAAATTACATTCTTTACGAAGAGTGAGCTCACGATAACACAAGTTGTCGCACTCTCATCCCCAGTTTCCGCAGTTTACGCAAGGAACGCCTGGGACCATGACCCCCCTTTTGGCGACCATAACGGCTTGCATTTTCAGACTCCGGCTTTCCTACGGAAGCCCGTGTACCAAATGCAACTCTATGTTAACGTTTCGTTTAGTGTGTTGCGTGCGCCAATCAGATCGCCGTATTTTGGTATGTATCTCGCGCCAAGCAGATCGCTGCACTAGGGCGCCCATCTCGCACCAATCAAATCGCAGTATTGGGGCATGCTTGCACCAGTCAGGGCGTCAGGGAACTGTCCCTCATGTCAATGATGTGATGGAATTAGGGTGTCGCAAAGCGTTGCAATGGAATCAACTCTAACATTGACGCACACTAAGACGATAAGTAAGTAGCACTGGGAAACATCGAGTCAAAATTGGGTCAAGATCGGAATTCTGCGGTTACACTTACTCGCGCACTCACTCACTCATTCCGACAACATATATAGCCACAGAAATATTATTACACCTGTATGACCCATTTCGCGTCCTTTTGAAATTTGCACTCTTTTAACGTTCTTGTTCTCTTGTTCTCCAGTGAGAGGTCTACATCACAATTATGCTAATTTAACCCATTGATTATAGAAGCGCATATTGCAAGAAAAAACACTTACTTTGGTTTAGCCTCATTGACATCTAGTGCTTACTCACCTGCTAAAGAATTCCACGAAAGTGTTTCCGAGGTTTAGGTTAGGAAACCATTAGATATCTCCGGGGGCTGCATCTTTTTAATCTGTGTCGCAGTATTTTCCCAAATGTACAACAGTGTGATAAAATCATACCCTTTTGGTTGAACATACAGCACACGTGCCATGATGTATTTCAATCGAAGTCTTTCGCCGACTTAGCTTTTAAAAAGCGAGAGGTCAGAGTTAAAACTGAAATAGGGAAAGTTGCAGTCATGCATATCAGCAACAACATTCAATGCTTCTTGGGAAAATGAAAATATATGAGCAAGCGCTTAGAAAGTTGCTCAAGTGATCTTTCGAGCGTTGAGTTTTAACGGAAGAATAGTATATTTTCTGTCTGTGAAATGCGTTTGCAAGTTTTCTTTTTTTTCCTGAAGTGTTCGAGCCATAAACTGAACCAGTCAGAGTAGATAAAAAAGAAAATGGTCGAAACAACTTAAAAAGACAGCACGACCGTTACTTTAGTGGCAATCAATCTCCTATTCAGCCCTCCCCTTTCCCCAACCCAAATTTTGTCTTGAAGTCCCTTAGGCTACAACATCGCCAGAAATGTCGAGCCGACATGCGCACTGAGAGCGCGACACTTAGAATTTTTCCGGCTTCGATCTGACCCGTTCATTACAGAAAATGTATGGCGACAAAATTTAATTTTTGTCGCAAAATAAAAGCATTTAGTATTGACGAGCTACTTTCGATCAAGTTAAGATGATACATTTCCGAACATGTTTTCGAAGTCGGTTTGGACATGAAACCTTTGAATTCCAGTTCGGTTTTGAGAAATTTGTAAAGCCATATTTTACGACGCCATATTGTAAGGTTCTGAGTGAAAGGTCGCATGCGGCCCTGAAGTCTGCGTTCATTTTGTACGGGCACATGAGTGCTACATACTTTACTTTCTATCCGTTCGAAGACTTCTAATGTCAGGCCGTTTCTGTGCAAAAGATAGCGTATATCCGTCCCGAAATGGGTTCGGTTTTGAACATCCATTTCATGTGATTGCAGACTTCCAGGTAAGAGTGACATTGAAGCCACAACGGGATGTTTTGCGCGAGAAAAATCAATCCTTTCCGTAAAAATATGCCCACCATATTATAGTAAAATCAG